ATTGGTGCAATGCTGCTCTATGGACACGGTGTGACTATTTGGCTCTCAATGTGATGGTGTGGTCTGGATTGTCATCTCGCTGTTGCTTATTTTCCTTGCAATTTGGTATTGGAGCTGGTTCATATTGCGCTTCATTGGTTCTTCGCTATAGCTATTGGTGCTTCGCATGAGGTGTGGGGCAGTGATACGGCATTGGCGTTGGACATTAGGCGGCCCAGGGTTGTGTGGGCGCGCCGGGAAGCTATGTGGTGACATACGGGATGTATGCTGGATGATGAGAACTCGCTGATGTGACGTATTAAGCTGAGGTGGAACTGCAGACTGCTGTTGGTTGTGCCGAAGCAAAGACCAGTCATCATAATTGCACATCAGGTTACCAGTGAGAAATCTGTGGTTGGGGGCAGCATTTAAGAGGTACGTTGCTCTCTTCCTTATCTACCCTCTTCATCTCTTCTTACCGTGAGGAAGTGAGTTCTGTCTTGAGAGTCCTCTTGATGTGAGGTGTCGCGAGCGCTCAACCTTGAGAGTCGACGCACTTCCTGGGCAGCAAGCTGGTGGGAGACGGGCGAAGCCTTGAAGGGCCCTGGATGAAGCACTCGGGCCACGGTCACCATGCCAACCCGCTGGGACTAGTATACGCATGCTTGGGCGCAAGTCCTTGGAACTGCTGCTTGCGCAAATAGGGGTCAACCCGGGCATGGCAGCCTCTATGAGCCGCTCACCAGACCGTCTATAAACATTTCTGGTTGTGGACTCAGATTGAATCTGGCTGTGATCGTCGTCCTGACTGCGACGTTAAATAATTCCTAAAGAGATGGGGGCGCTCTTAATAATCCTCCTGATCAGCCAGATCAATCGGGTGTAAGGCTCGTCGGCGTACGAGGGTAAATAAGAGTGCTGTGGCTGCCTTGCGCGACGATGACTTGAGGCACGAGTGTGGGACCGGATTGCACACCTTTAGACACGCTGCTCAACCAGATGCTCAGGGACGTTGACACAAAGTGACTAATCAAGAAGGATACAGGGGGAGGGGGGATTCCGGTAAGTGTTCACAGTGACACTCAACAGACTATCTGCCATCCAGTGTACATCTCCAAGAGGAGATGTTATTTTTGTTTTTGATTATCTAGTTGTTACGGACTTGCTGACAAATGACAGACAGCTACAGATAGACTAGATCTTTGCTGTATTGCAATCTGTTCTAGGGTAATCTAAAAATAGATTTGATATATCTTGTAGGACCTGACATTAGTTGTTGCTACATCACTTAACTATTTCTGTTCATGTTGACCGTGGTTAGTTGTGTATCATATACGGATGTGTGTCAAGCTAAGGTAGGATTCAATGTGGATTCTAGTTTAGATCACACACACTGTAGCTCATGAGTGATGCAAGCACAAGTGAGGAGGAGTTACTAGTGGACGACCGTAGGACTACTTGCGGGACTGCCCGGAGTCGACCCTTGACATTCCTGGAGGTCCAGGAGACGAGAGAAGATTGAGGAGAGAGGTTAGAGAGAGGACAACGGAAAGGAGATCGAGGGCAGCTGAGGATAGTGCTAGGGCTAGAACTTCAGCTAGCATCAGTGCAGCCATGACTACCTCATCTATGACGCAATCCTCTACACAACCCACTTCGTCAGGAGTCGCAATCCTCTACACAACCCACTTCGTCAGGAGTCAGTCAGAGTGGCACTCAGGGAGTCACTAGTCAGATTGGTCATGTGCGAGTCAGCCAGTCTCCACTCACGCCGGAGGACTTAAAAATCCGGCAGGCAAAAGAACTTCAGGATGAGTTACAGCGGCAGATGGACGATGTAGTAGAGAGGAGAAGGAAAGCTATGCAAAGAAAGGCTAGACTAGAGAGTAGAGCTCAGGAGCTAGGCAGACTGGAAAGACTAGATGAGTCAACATTAGACCTTGCTGTTCGTGTGCTGCGAGGCGCCTTACTTTCAGTGGCGGAAGCGCAAAGCGTTCATTAGGAATTGTTGGCTGATTTAGTAGCAGGCCAGAAACAAATTCTAGCTGAACTACGGGGTCCTCGCACAATGGTGAGGCCGCCACTGTTTGTTGTAGTTCCCCCTGCAGCTGCGGGTCCATCATCGAATGCCGCAACGCACAAGGCAAACTTTCTCTCCCATGTTTGGCATATCCTCCCCGAGTGGTTTAGTAGCAACTAGTGGTCCGGTTCATTCAGTCTCAGCCGTACCATCTACAACAGTGGTCACTATAGTCCCACTGTCCAGCCAGGCTGAGGTTAGTATGCAACAGCCTGTTTCAGTGGCTATGCAGCCGCTGCAGCAAGCACCTGGGCCCATGCAGCCTATGCAGTGGATGCCCAAGATAGCTTTGATGAGTCCCAAGCCTTTCTCCGACGATAAGAAGAAGGAGGAAGACTTGGACACCTGGGTGAGAACTGTGCCTACTTATGTGAGGCATAAGCTCACAAGACCAGAACAAGAAGTTGTAGTGGCTGCCTCCTTTTTAGAAGGATCAGCAGCCCGCTGGTTAAATGGCTTAGTGCAGCAAGAGGGCTACGGTCAGGATTTCGATGCCTGGGCACAATCCCAGACATTGGAAAAGTTCATACAGTACGTGTACAACAGGTGGCATGACCCACAAGGGGCTCAGAAGGCCACTGATGCTATCAACAATCTTTGTTCCCGAAGGTTCAAGAATGTTAGAGAGCTAACGGACGCCGTAGAACGACTAATCGTGGTACCTGGTGTGCGTTTTGACCAGCAGGTTCTCCTAACGSATTACCTAAGGTGCCTACCTTCAGAGGTAAGGACCAAGCTGGTTGACGAAGCCTATGTTGAACARCACACCTTCGCTTCTTTTAGTAAGAAAGCTCTGSAYATCGAGGCCAAGCTAGGATCTGCGCATCAGGCACCCAACGATGGTAGGAAGAGACTGCCCCAGGATTGGAAGAAAAAGGGTCAGTTAATGTTCGTTGACCACGATGGTCAAACGACGGAGATTGACGACTACTCGGATCTTGGGGAGTTCACAGAGCACGATGGGGGTGGTGAGACTTCAGATGGTGGAGTCGTGGCCCCCATCAAGGAAAAGGCTAGGGGGACCGGGAAGAAGAAAGTAGTACGGTCCACTGGTCAGGGCGACCAAGGGACACCCGCATGGGTGAAGATTGGTTTAGACTACGAGGTGTGGCATGACCGCGTTGCTAGGGGTACATGCATGAAATGTGGCAACTATGGCCACACGTCCAGGACTTGCCGCGGCAAGAAAGTCACAACGAAGGTAGCCTCACCAACGGTGGTGGGCTTATCTTCGAACCTTGGGAGTGCTTCTGCGAGCAGCTCACAGGGTTGGGCAAGTAGGAGTGTTAGCCGTTCTTACTCGCGCTCAAGTGGTAACGTTGCCTTCCCCACTTCAGGCGTTGGGCAAGGCTAGTGACCCACGTATCGCCCCGCAGACACATTCAGACCCACCGACGCTCTGTTCGAGAGATGTGTCTGAGGCCCTAGAAGAGTTAGAGACTGAG